CACACACACACACACACACACACACACACACACACACACACACACACACACACACACACACACACCGCTGGCCTTCCACCGAGCGCGCGGCTGGCCCCTCCTCTCCCTCGACGACGGGCCTTAGGTCGGGCATGTCCCTCTACAGGAGGAGCACTCAAGGATAGTAAAAAACATATTATGGTGAATATTTGTCATGCTCTTTTGCCTAGTGCTGACTACCCATCGGTCGGAAGAAGCAGGTAGAGACATGAAGTAGGAAGGCGTCGAGAGTGGATTGGGTGTCCGCCCGCCCCGTGAGGAGGACGGGATGGGTCAAGCCACTCGATCACTGAAGTAGGAAGGCGCTCACAGTGGATTGGAATCTGGGAATCCTACTTTCAACGACCGATGGGTAGTGTTTATCTTCCCGAATCCGCCTGTAGGAGGACATGCCCGACACAAGGCCCCAGCCCCGCCCACGGAGCGCCCTGCCCCCACGCATCGCGAGGCCAGCCGACCCTCTTCCGCGATCAAGAGGGGCCGCTTGCAAAGCGACCCTGTCCCCCCCGAGCGCGAGGCCAGCCGCCCTTCGCTCGACCACGAGGTCGCTCGCGGAGCGCCCTACGACGACGACGCCCTCGACAAACGACGACGACGACGACGACGACGACGACGACGACGACGACGACGACGACGACGACGACGAAGACGGGCTGAGGGGCAACGTCACGGGCGGGACCAGCCAAGGGGGGAAAGCATCGACCTGGAACCGGCGACACATCGCCGGCAGATCGGCAGTAGGGCCCCCGATGGCGAATCCGCACGCTCCTGTCAGGGGGGCGTAAGACCCGGGTACAGGGGACTCGGAAATCCCCGACGAGGTCGTCAAAAAAACTACGAGGCCGAGCCTGCACTCTGACGAGGCCTCCCGCTGCAGACATCCCACGGAGCTCCTCCTCGTCAAAATCCGAGGCGCGGTCGTCAAAAAACGATGGCGAGCCCGAGTCCTGGCAAACCCGGGTCTTACTAAAGGGAAATTAGGACACACAAATAAATACACACAAATAAAATTAGTCCCCATATTTTCCCATATTTTCTGGGTTTTTGTCTTCTCCCCCAATTCCCATATTTTCCCATATTTTCCTGGGAATCGAGGATTAATTGTGTCTGTGTGTTTTTTCCTCTCCTTACTTACGCTCCCCCGATCCTGCGGGGGGGGCGGAGCTATCGGGCCCCCTGGCGGCGGCCGGTGGGCGATCGGGAATCCACGGCTCCCCCCTGGCGTTGCCCCTTGGCTTCCGGGTCCCCGCTCGGCTCTCCGGCGGCCCTTCGGGGCGCTCGGCCGCTGAAGGGCACCCCGAGGCTGGAAAACGACCGAGAACAAAAATCGGAGCAAATCGAAAACCTCCAACTCCGAACCTCAAATCGACCCGAGCCGACCCTCGGACGCGGAGGCCAGGCTGCAGAATGCCGCCAGCACTGGCGCTCCCAACCGCTGTCGCCGGGAGCTCTCTCCGTCGGCCGGTTGTGGTCACAGGGCCCGAGCATCGATCTCAGGACCAGGCAACCCTTTCTTGAGCAGGCTGCTGGGCGCCACGGCCCGTACCAGGCAACCCTCCTCCTCCTCCTCCTCCTCCTCCTCCTCCAGCTCCTCCTCCTCCTCCTCCTCCTCCTCCTCCTCCTCCTCCTCCTCCTCCTCCTCCTCCTCCTCCTCCTCCTCCTCCTCCTCCTCCTCCGTTTCGGGGGCACGCAACTGTGGGGCAGGGGCAGGAGGTGGGCCGTGGGGAAGTCCCGAAACACGGGCCGCGTAAGAGAAGGACGTGTGGCTCTCGAGCTGGGTATGCTCCCTGACCCCACCTTGGGGTAACCTGCCTCCACGAACCCCCGAACGCTACCGCCGAACGGAGACGAGGACGAGGCCGGGCCGGGCCGCTCCGAGGCCGACGCCCCAGTCCTTGCCGCCCTCCTCGGCCCCAAGCGCCGCTGGCGGCGCGGCCACGGGCGCCGCGGCGGGCACCTGCTGCGGAGCGCGGCGCCCGACAGCAGGATCGGATCGGCTTGGCAGGAGGCAGCGTCGTGCCGCGCAGCGCCGTCTGGGGCCCCTCCTCTGGGGTGCAGCAGGGATGGAGAATTGCGCTCGGAAGCCACGCAGGCCAGTACTTGTGTCCCGCTTTGCCCGGCGGCCCACAACCACCCAGGCCCCCACCGTCCACCCTGCCGACGGCAAGAGGGAAGGCGGGGGGAGAGAAGATTCGAGTCGATCCTGCCATCTGGAATACAATCAAAACTAGAGCAAGGATGCGCGGTAAGGGCGCAAGCCCGTTGTAAGCCCATGTAAGGGTACCCTTGGGAACATCACCTATGCTGTCATCGATTGCGACTGCACGTTTCTGCTACTGGCCGGGGCACGCTTCAACTCAGATCACGGTCGCCAGCGTGCCGCAATCGACCAAAAGCGCATATGAGTCCAATAAAACAGAAAAACGTCGAACACGGACCACGGAGGTAAAGCCCGACCGGCCTGCGAGCCGCAAGCCCGGACCCAGATCGAAGGGGAAAACAAGCCTCTGCTGGCCGCACCGGGCCGCCTTCGCGGGCGGGCGTTCGCGGGCGGGCGTTCGCGGGCGGGCGCGCGCCAGGCGACGACGCTGCAGCGCAGAGGGAAAGAGAAGAAGAAAAATAAGAAGAAGAAGAAGAAGAAGACGAAGAAGAGGAAGAAGGAGGAGGAGGAGGAGGGGGAGGAGGAGGAAAAGGAGGCCAACACAAACCCAAGACGCACCAGCGATAGTGCAATAAACCCTCCCTCAAATTTTAATAGCGGTGCGACAGCGGTAAAGGGGGATGAACGAGGCGACGGTGATTGCCCTGTTTATGGGAGGCGGGCACCTGCCACTCCCAGGAACTTGATTCCTCCTCTCTGCGATGGGAACGAGTCACCAATAGAAACCGGGGGGGGGCGGCGGAGGTGAGAGGGGGGTGACGGGGCCCCCGCCCCAAACACTGCGAGCATCGGGGGCCCGACCGCCTTTTCACCTCGCCCCTTCCCTCCTTAAAAGCACCGTAACCACCGCGAGCCGCTCGCGCACGCGCGGGGGCCGAGAGGCGCGGTCTCGAAGCCCTGCCCAACCGCCACAAGGTCATCCGCGGTTGAGGCCCCCTTCCCTCTCAGCCCCCGGCTCCCGCCCGCGGCGAAAGGGCGAAGACCCCCGAACGGGTGGAAGGGGCACCCCCTCCGTGGCAGGGCCAACAAGGCAACCAGGGGTTCGAAACTGCCCCGCCAGCGCGTCCGCGGCCACTCGGAGACTCTCCCTGCACGGGGGCCGCCGCCGAGCTCCGCCCCGGGACGCGACCCAGGGCGAAAGGTCGACGGCCCCTGAATGGCGACGTGCTCCGAGCGGCCACGCGCTGCAAAAGCGCCGCGGTGCGCGGCGGGGGCCGCCTCCTGAGCCGCTCGCGGGCTGCACCCTCATCGCGGGCGCACTCTCCTGCCGGGGCGGCGCTGCAGCCGCTCCAGCCCTGTCTGCGCGCCCACGTCCGCGGCGCACTGAGCGGGGCTGTCGCCGCTGGACGGCCGCCGCCCCCTCGGCGGTCGACTCGTTGCACCCTTCAGTGGCCAGCGCCACCTTGTCGAGCACGCGGCCGCCACACGGATCCCAAGACACTCGTCGACGTCTGTCGTCTTCAGGTTGCTGAGATTGCCCGCCTCCTGGCCAAGTATCTCAGGTCGCTTGGCTGGCGCAGCTGGGCCGCTGCACGCCTTTTGGCCGCCAAACTCTCGACGCAGCGGCTCCTGACCCAGCAGCGGTTGCAGGCTTGCCTCCGTGTGCGCCAGCAGCTCCACCAGCACCAGCAGCATCAGCAGCAGCCGCATCAGGATGCTTGCCGCTTGCCTTGCCCTTGGCGGTGGTAGCCGCTCCGCCTTGACCTTCGCGGCGAAGATGTGCTGGGAATCGCGCCGCCTCTGCTGCTCCTCCGGGCTGCTCGTTTGGGCCGCCTCTGGGACCTCGGCCGCGGAAGCAGGGCCTGCCTCAGCATCCCTTTTGGCCTCCTCCGCCAAGGCGCGTCCAGGCCAGGCGCCGCATGCCCGTCAGCATCAGCTCTGCGCTTCCTCTGGAGCTGCCTGCGGAGGCTGGGAGCTGGCCCATCTGCTGGAGCATATGCTTCTGGAGCTCCTCCGCCTGCTCCCTGTACTTCTTGGCCTCGTCAACGTTCTGCTGGCGGATGGCCGCCTGCTGCTTGGTCGGCTCCTTCTCGGCCGCCTCGATCTTCTGCGAGGAACCTATGCCCGCCATCTGGATCTCACCGACCTTTGCACGGAAGGCCAGCACGGCCTCCTTGGTAGGCCCGTCACCGAAGTCCTCCAAAAAGGAGGAGGAGGAGGCAAGAGTGAGGCGGGAAGGTGTATACCCATGGACCTTCCCGCCGAAAGCAAGACCTGACTGGACAGACGCACGAAAGAAACGATGCTTGATGCTCTTGCCCTTGCGCGTCCCGGTGCTCAGCTTGATCGCTCGGAGCTTTCTGATGCGACCTCGTGCCTTGGCCCATCTGTCTCCGTGCCACTGACTTAGAAGCTTTCGCCTTCCCCGCCGAGAAGTCGATCCCCAAGTTGACAGCAGAGTGAGCTCCTGTCCCAAACAAGTCCGCCAGCAAACTTTTCCGAGCCACATCCAGCAACTTAGCCGACGAGGCAGTGGAACACACCTTCTGGAGGGCACGGGAGAGGTTGAGCTTCTCCAGACCCTGGCACATGCGAGTGGCGAGCTCGACCATGTTGGTGACACAATCCTCTATGAGGGTGTTCCACGAGAAAAGCCCCATGTCGTCTACGTGGACCGTCGTGCCGACAGACTCCTGAGCCTGCCAAGCGCCTAGAACCTCAGGATCCTGGACTAAAGGAATGAGGTAGGCCTTCGCCTCAAACGTAGCTGTGGCAGAGCCCCGAGCAGTTGCAGCAGGTCCCAGCCACCCACTTTTCGCGCATCTGTGGTTGGCAGTCCCCGATATCGACCCACCGGTGGTTGATTGGGAATTCGTTTATAGAGATGGGGAGGGGCCTGGTGACAAATTTCAGTTTGACCCTGGTAGGGCCACCTTTGTAGATGGCTCGTGCCTGAACCCCGGGCTTGATATGCTGGAGCGCGGGGGCCTGGCAGCGTGCCAGATAGATGATGATGGCAACCTTCTCCGCGCCGTGTCGTCCCATCAGCCCCGAGTGCTACCTCAGCATGCTGTCCATTGTGAGCACTCTGGACTCGTAGCGGCGGGGCTCCATTCTGATCTGGAGCAGTCCCCAGAGTTTGCGGTGGACTGCAAGGCTCTCTTCCGCGGAGTTTCTCAGCCGGCCCTCAGCCTCAAGGGCACCACCCTCTTTAGTCATTAGTGGAGGGTTCTGGCTCATGCCACGCCGGGGCCATGGCTGTCGCTCTCACATGTCAAAGCCCACCGCAACTTTGAAGATGAGGCTAGCGATCCTGACCGATATCGAATCCTAGGAAATCGGATGGCGGACACTCTAGCTAAGGAGGCCGCCGGGAAGCACGACGTTAATCCAGGTTCCCTTGCGGACTGCACGTTGGCCCTGGAAGAATATGTCGAGCTCGTGACAGGTGCAGGGAGGGTTCTGGCCAGCTGGCCCCCCTCGCGTGAGTATGTTGGTCCCTTGTCCAAGGTTCCTCGACCCCCTCCACCCCGCCCGTTTGTTTCTACCCACTCGCTCACTTGGACTGGCAAGGGTTATCGATGTACCACATGTTTGAAAAAGGTCACTCTTCAATGCAGGAGGGCTTGCTCACAAGAGTACCCCCCCTCCCTCACAGAGGCAATTAACAAGCGCCGAGCCCTTCACCATTCCCTAAGCATGGGGTGGATTGATAGGAGGAACATGCCAATTGTTTTTTGTAATCTCTGTGGGGGGTATAGCATGGGGAGGGGCACAAAACTCTTGCAGCTCTGCCTCACGGAACAGGACCGAGTGAGGCAGCAAACAAGAGGTGGCTCCCTGGCAGGGGCGAGTGCCCCCCCCCGCGTCAGCAGTGAGCGTCGGAAGCTGCAGCGCGGATGTGTGCCAGGGACCGCCCTCACCTTCTCCAGAGTCACCCACCTGGGGTGACTGCGACGTGACTCGTAACGGTCTGGACGGCCATACCGTTAAGCCAAGCCCCCCCCATGGGGGATAGAGCGCACGGTGGGGCGGGCTGAGGAATAAAGAGGAGGAGGATTTTAAATCCCCGTGGTGGGCTCATCTGGCAATTCTGGGTTATGCCAGCCCGTCGGTTTTGAACCCCGTTGGAGGGCCCTCGCCTGGAAGGCGAGGTTGATGTCGTGCCCAGCCCCCCTTGATAGTGAGGAGCTTACGGGCGCAAGGTGGGCGGTGCTATGTTCAGGGGGTCCCATTTTTCGGGGCTGGGCCGCATCTTTTACCAGGCGCGTGCATTCTGTGCTCGCACGGACACGCTTTACAGTGCTACCAGTGAGGGGGGAAGGAAAGGGGGGGGGGTAGGGGAGAGAGGGGGTGGGGAAGCGAAAGGGAAGAGGAGGGGAGGGGAGGGAGGAAGCGAGAGGGGCTGGTCCCCCAGTGCGGAGGTGGTGGATGTACTGGACATGTGTTCAGGAAGGCTACCTAGAAGCTGGTGGGAGGCGCGACATTTGGGGGAGAGTGCGAGAGAGAACGAAGGGGGGGAAGGGACGGGGAGAATGATCGGGTATTGCCACAGGTGTCCCTTACCCAAGGTGCTCCAGGATTTTCAAGGGAGGTCCCGGCGGCCTCCAGGGCACCCCTCACGAGGTCCAGAGGTCCCCAGGGGCTCCAAAACAGCATAGGAAGCTTGAGGCACCTCGGGCCAGGGACAACTCTGGCAACCGCCGAGGCGAGGAGGGGGAAGGGGGAGGGCTAGATGCCCCAGGGAGCAGCACCTGGCCGGCAGGCATCGCCATCCCGCCAGTCATGCCGGCCACGGGTTGCGGGTAGCCCCTCCCCTCCGCGCCCTCCAGATTGGGGGCGACAGGGCGAAAGTGAAGCAGGGGGACGACGGCGGCGGGGATGATTGCCGAGGGGGTGAGCGAGAAGAGCGGAGAGCAGCAGCAGCCGCACCAGCAGCAGCAGCAGCAGCAGCAGCAGCAGCAGCAGTGAGAGACGAAAGAGGAGACAGAGGAGGCGGCGGCGGAGGCTGAGGCGGAGGAGGGAGTCGGGAGACAAGGAGCTGGGGGAGGAAGGGCGGGGGAAGGACGAAAATATGGAGGAGAGGAGGAGGAGGAGGAGGCGGGGCGTCCCTCCAGGAGGAGGAGGGGGGGCTGGGGTCAGCCTCGGGTGCGAGCTCGCACCGAGAGGCGTCGGGCGAGTCGACCCGAGGGTGAGCAGGCGATACACGGGGCGGAGGGTGGAGCGCGGCGAGGTGGGCCGAGCGCACCCTCGCGGCGGCAGAGGCAGCCCTGACGCCCTCAATGATCGCTCCCACCACCACGACCATAGGTAGGATGGAGGATGGGAGGTCCTCCTCCTCCTCCTCCTCCTCCTCCTCCTCGTCCTCCTCCTCCTCCTCCACCTCCTCCTCCATTCCCTTTCCTTATACATAGTTTCTCCCTGTCACACCCCGAGGCCAGTTTTCAGGGCGGGCCGGGCGATTCGCCTGAGATTTCCTCACCACTTATGACTCTAAAGCTAAGAAATGGGCAACAGTTTCACACATGGAGTGCGGGTGGTTTTCAACATGTGGCTCTCGCCTTGGCGCCGCGCACATTCGTTCTAAACATCTACAAGAGCTCCACGGATTGAAGGCGACCCGTTTTCAAAATGTGGCTCTCGCCTTAGCGCCGCGCACATTCGTCTTAAAATCGTGCAAGAGGTTCAATGAGCGAAGATAACCCGTTTTCAAAATATGGCTCTCGCCTTTGCGCCGCGCACATTCTTTTTTACAACCTGGAAGAGTTTCACGGATTCAGGGCGGCTCCTTTTCAAAATGTGGCTCTCGCCTTTGCGCCGCGCACATTCGTTTTTTGAAAAAATGCGAAAGCTTCACGGATTGAGGGCGGCTCCTTTTCGATATGTGGCTCACGCCTTAGCGCCGCGCACATTCGTTCATAACATTTGCAAAAGGTTCAAGGATTCCCATGATTTACGTACCAGAAATTGTGTTTTGGAAGGATTCCCGATTTTGCGGATGCAACAGTTACGTCGATTCGCGGTGATCCCAAGAATGGCGCTCTGGCACGATCCAGGATCGTCAAGACGCAACAGTCAGGTTGATCTGTGGCGTTGGAATCCCGAGACCAATGTTTTGGCATGCTTCAAAGTCTTCAAACGCTTGTCTTCCAACGAGGCAGTTCCCTCAATGGGAATGAACCGTTGTAGGGGCCTGTGAAGAGGGAACTTGGAAGTAGGGTGTATTCCAACATCGTCGATGGCTCTTGAGTTTAAACTGGTCCTGCTCCTCCAACTCCTCTTCCTCCTCCTCCTCCTCCTCCTCCTCCTCCTCCTCCTCCTCCTCCTCCGCCTCCGCCTCCGCCTCCGCCTCCTCCTCCTCCTCCTCCTCGCCCTCCTGACGCTTTTCATGATCGCTTCCCCTTGGAGTGCCGGGGGGATGGCCGTGTAAGACGAAGCCAGGACGAGGATATCATCGGGCGAGGATAAAGCTAGAACCTCTGGAAGCCGGCGGCTCTGGAGGACGTCTCGGGCGCCGCGGCCTTCTCAGGGCGTTCCAGATCGCTCCCAGGGCGTTCCCGAACGCTCTGGAACGGATTTCTCCTCGTACCAGGCCCGTCCGACCGCGGCGTGTCCGCGGGGGTGGCGAGGGGGGGGGGTTGGAGCTGTTCGCTGCGTGCTGGGGGGGGGGGTTCGGCCGCGGCGCGTCCGCGGGCGTGGCTGGGGGGGGTGGGATCTGCGCCCTTCCCTGCGGAAGGGCCCGGGGGGGTCCGCCCCCCTTCAAGGTCCGCCGCGCTCTCCAGTGGGAACCCAGCCGGGTCGGCCACTCGACGCTTCACCCCATCCCCGCCCCACCCACGCCCCCTGCTTCTCCTCCATTCGTATTCCGTTCCATTCCCTCCTCTTTCTTCGCATGTCTGGCTGAATGGACGGAGCGTGTTCCCTTTTTTCCGAATTCAGACTTGGTAGCACGGCGCACTCGTTCTTGTCCCGATTCTGCTCACGGCGCCGCCACCGCGCCGCTGCTACTGCTGGCCTGTGCCGGGGCAGCCGCCGCTCTGCCTGCCGCCACCTTGGCCGCCCCGGCCTCCTTCTTCGCCTTTTTAAAAGCTAGGCCCTTCAGTGGCGCTGCGGCGGCGCCGTGAGCGGAATCGGAACGGCAACGAATGCGCCATGACGGAAAGCAACTCACAGTCTGCCCAACGACGCCGTCCAGATGCTCAACCACCTGGCCGCCTGGCCCCGCCCAGTTATCGCGAATGGGCAAACAGGGAGTGCGAGAAAGGAGCAGGCAATTGTGGAGACTCGTGGCGAGGGGACGGGAAACAGGAGCACGAGATCCACGAGGAGAGAGCGAGGGATATCGGAAGCTAGGGGAAGGGGAGAGACGAGGGCACACGCGGGTGACGAAGGGGGGGGTCAAGCGCCCCCATGGTTGGCGTGCAGCGGGGGGGGGGCTTGAAGTTTCTCCTCCTCCTCCTCCATCTCATCCTCCTCCTCCTCCTCCTCCTCCTCCTCCTCCTCCTCCTCGTCCTCCTCCTCCTCCTCCTCCTCCTCCTCCTCCTCCTCTTCCTCCTCCTCTTCCTCCTCCTCCTCCTCCTCCTCCTCCTCCTCCTCCTCCTCCTCCTCCTCCTCCTCCTCCAATCCTCCTCCTACGCCAGGGTTGGCGTGCAAGGGGGTTGGGGGGCTTGAAAACGTCCGCGCGCGTGCGGGGGAAAAGGTCGGATTCGAGGGTCGGTGCTGGGGGGGGTTGGCCTTGCCGCGGTTTCATGTTCCCCCCTCGATGCATAAGAAGAAGTTCCCAGAAACAAGTACAGTCGTGGGACTGCCAGAAAGAATGCCAAATCTGGTCAGAACTGATAGCACGGGTGCGCGGGATGGACGCAGGGGCCTTGGAAGGCCATGTCGAGGCTCTTCGAGCGGGGCGGGGCATCGAAACGGATTGAGGATGGGCCGACGAGAAAGGACGCAAGGAATCCTCATCACTACCAGCGCTGATCACAAGAGGCGAGAGAGGGCGTCCCTGGCCACGGCGCGGCTCGGCCGCGAGTATGGGCTCCCCGAACTCGACCTAAGGAGCCTCCTCCTCCTCCTCCTCCTCCTCCTCCTCCTCCTCCTCCTCCTCCTCCTCCTCCTCCTCCTCCTCCTCCTCCTCCTCCTCCTCCTCCTCCTCCTCCTCCTCCTCCTCCTCCTCCTCCTTGCTCCTCAGACGTAGCCTCGGAAGGAGTTCGTCCACTCTAGCCCTCACTGGGCTCAGCCTGCTGCAGAAACTGCGATCGCGCAGCTCGTGCGTGTTGATGTAAAGCTTCCTCGTCGATGTCATTGACCCGACGGACCGAATTGTACAAATAAAACGCTATAATGAGTCTCTCGAGCGCTCTCAGCCTCTGTGGCTCCGACATTTCTCGAGCGAGACCGAGGCGGCGATCAAGAAACACTTCGACGGGCTCCTGGGGCCACCACACTGAGAGCACAGCTCCCCATAGGTACGGGCACGCCATATAATGAGCGTGCGCGTCAAGGGCGTCCATGCAACCGAATTTGCAGCGGCAGTCGGTCTGTGTCATCCTCCGCTCCGTCGCCCACCCGCCCACCAGAGTTTTGATGACCGAACTTTGCCACGCAGGGGGAAAGCTAGCAAGGCAATCACGAAGCGCAGGCCAGCTCACCCCCGCACGAGCCCGACGGGAAGGGGTCCGAGACGCCCATTTGGCCAGGCGCCTCCATATGATCGGGGCGAAGTCTTCAACAAAAAGAGAGCTGGCCAAGGATCTGGCGAGGGTGCGCTGCACAGGGGCACGAGGGTCCGCCCGCTGCGCCTCGTCGAAAGCAATGAGGGCCGCGGCGATCGCCGACCTCAGAGAGGCCACCCCAGGAAAGCCACGATCCGCTCTCGCCAGCTCCTGAACACACGGCGGGGACTGCCAATGGGGAGGCGACCAGACGTCTGCCACCCACATCTTCATCGGGAGGGCCGACTCCGCTACCTTCTGAAGTTCGGACCATAGCGGCCTCCAAGTCGTGACCGTGCACTTGGCAGTCCGTATTATTGCAGCCACCGGCTGTGCTTGCATGGACAGAGGCCTCAGCTTCGACCCGTGACGCAATGCAAGCAATTGATCCAACGGGATCGAGAACGGCGGGAGATGCAATATCTTATGCAATGCCCAGGACTCACATTTTGCTATGGCTCTGGGTAGCGGGCACAGCTGCGCCAGGTAACCGAATTTTGAAACAGCTCGCGAATTGTACATGCACAGCGCCACCGACGGAGGGGCACTGGTCTCAGCGATGCTCCTCACCACCCCCACCCACCCCCGAAACGCCCTCGCCCACACATGTTTCGCCGCAGCAGGGCCAGAACATACACCTAAATATTCGGCAGCCTCTACGACCGGGATCGATCGCCACCGCGGAACTAGCTTGGCCAGTCGCTCCTGGACTTTCACTTGGAGAGAGGGGGAAAAGGCCTCAGAGACGGGGACAAGGCGACATTTGGGGATCTTGAAAGCGAGGCCAGCCAGAAAACCCGCGGCGTAAAAAAAAACCCTGAGAGCCTGGAAAGGGCATGCGATTCAGCTACTGCCGCACCGATGTCATCCGCGCATGCTCCAATTTCACATCCTGGATGTTTGCGAAGCCTGGAACGCATGTCCCTCAGAAGGGGATCCATCGCAAGGGCCCACAGGGTGCCTGAGGCGGGGTCCCCTTGCATCACACCAGACATTATCGTGCAGCATTCCCACAACTGACCTAGGACAGCCGTGCGAGACATCGCAAAGGCATAAGTGGCTTGGGCAAACTGAAGCAGCCCAGTCGGGTAGCCACAACGC